GGGCGGCTCTGAACGGTGTCAGCCCGTGACTGTGGGTGACACGGCGCGTGAGGCAGCTTGGCTCAGGCGAACGTGTGGCCGGGACGCTGGGTGGTGACGCGGAGCTGAGCGGGTGACAGAGGGGCTCTGTGTGTCTGAGGCGGAGGGTGTGTGTGTGTGATTGTGTGAGAGACCCTGGGTCACTGGGGTCACCATGTGTGTCAGTGACCAGAGCAGGGCCAGGACCACTGGTCAGTATGAGGGTAAATAGAAGGGAAGAACCCAAGTGACAGAATGAGCCATAGCACTCGTGTGGGGCCAAGTAGTGTCAGTGTGTCTGTGCTTCATGACAATGAGTAAGAGGCAGAAAGGGGGTGACCTCAGACACCTTCCAGCAGATGGGAGGACAAGGAAGTTGGGGGCCCAGGGGACAAGGTTCTCTCCAGGACTATCCCCAAGAAGGCACCCCTCAAGGTTTCAGTTTAGGGAGGGGCATCTGAGCTGAGGGGCCTTGCAGTAGTCTCAGCCTCCACCCCACATACACTCTCACACTGAAGTTCCTTAGTAACCTGTATTGTTAGTGGGCCTAGGCTCAGTCTTGCTGTCAAACCTCAGTCTCCCCATCTGCACACTGAGGTGTCTGACTGTAAATGAACTGTGATTCATCACTTTGAGATTCACTATTGTTTTTGGGTCAGCTGCCTCTGTTCTCCCTTCCCTCTTCAGGTAGAAAGACTGCCGTGGAGGTTGGTGGCAGGCTTCTGTTGGGAGCACTGTGATCTAGGGTCTGTACCTAGGTGCTAGTGAAAGGTTTGGAAGCCAAACCCTCCCTGAAACTGGTCAAAGATCCCAAAGGCTGCCTGGTCCTTGATCCCAAACTGAATCCATGGACATGGGTACTGAAATCCTGGTTTATAGATGATCTCTAACCAGACTTCATTTTTTTGGTGCCTTTGTTTCTTTGGTGATAGTAGGGTATTGACTTGTTCCCTAGGAGTGATCTCTGGTCTGGTCAGGAAGGCCAAATTCTTGCTGGAGACCTGGAACAGGGCCCCTTCCCCTCTGAGGCCCTTACTCTGACATGAGAGTCTATGGGGTTCATGCAGGATTGGTGGAAATTGAACTCCTTAGCCCTAGAGGTGGCAGTGGCAGGGGGTGTGGCACATGCTGTATGTAAGATCTGGGAGTTCTATTTTCTGCAGTCGTTTTCTGAAAATGTTGATTGCTTCTGGGGGATGGAGTGGGCACAGTGCCAGGCTCTGTTCCAAACACTATATGATGTGCTGTTTTGTTGAATCCTCGCAGTGATTCTGTAATGTGACTGAAAGAAACAGGCTCAGAGAAGCAAAAGCAGTTTGCCCAAGGTCACTGGAGAGTCAGGACAATGCCAGGACTAGAACTCAGGTCTTCTGACCCTCTGAGATACCTGGAGAGGATCATCACCTTCTTGATAATTGCTTATGGTTTACCCGGGCTGGCAGGCATGGCCTTGCCAGGTTGTACCATTTTGAGTTCCAAGTGTGATGTGTGTGCACACATGTGTGGAACATGTCAGGTGGGTAGGTTACATGATCTTCCTGTTCTTGCTCTTTGTCCTGCTGGTTATCACCCCCAGCCGGAGGTTACCAGAAAGGCTTGTGTCCTGCCTTCTAGAGTCTGCCCTGGCCTCGGGAGTGTCCACCTGGCTTTGAAGAGTGGAGGTAGCAGTATAGCCCAGCGTGGCAGGGATAATTGACTTTTACCATATCTGAAAGGCCCCCACCTGTCTCTGCCATTTCTCTAAGGATTTTTGGTGGAGAGCAGATACATTGACCTTGAATGGCTGCTCCACCCTCTTTGGGCCTCTATCTCCCCATTTTTCCCAGTACCCCTTCTAGCTCTGACCACTGCCACTGATTTGCTTAAAGCTGAGCCTGATGATCAGGTTGTCCCTTGTTCCTCTATGACTGGAGCTGTGTTTCTTGGGGCTGATGAAAATAGCTGTCTTGGTCTCCAGGGGCTGATCCCAAGTTATTTCCATCTCCAGCAAAGAAGTGGAAATAGCTCAAGGCCTGGGAGGGGGAGAGAGAAGAAGGGTTAAAGATTAGCCTTCTCTCCTCACCCCAGCCTTGTGGAGGCCCTGAAACTCCACCCTATGTCTGCCCACGCCCATTCTTTCAGGGAATTTGGGCCTGGGACCTGGTGATAATTGCTGGAGGGAGGTATCTATATCTGGCCAAGGATGGGAGACATTGAGGGGCAGGCGGATCCCTCCTACTCATAGGGTTAGGAGTCACCCAGCAGGTCATTCTAACTGCTCCCCACTTTACAAAGAGAGAGACTGAATTCTGAGACTTGCAGGGACTTACCCAAGACTCCCTGACCCCTGCTCTTTTGGCTCTTCTCCTGTAGACAGGGGAGCCACCTTCTACCCTGGCGCTCACTCATTCCCTGGTTGGCTGGGTATGGGCCAGCATGGGAAGGAGGACCAGGACATATCTTCACTAAACTAGGCTGCTCTTACATTCTGGTTCAGTTCTGCTCTCTGTGCCTAGACTCTTTTTGTTTTCGTTTTTCAGTTCTGGGGTTTGAACTCAGGACCTCACACATGCTAGATAAGTGCTGCACCACTGACCTACATCCCTAGCCTTTTTTTTTTTTGTACCAGGGCTTGAACTCGGGACCTTGCGCTCAAGGTCATCCCTGTGGATATGGGCAAGTTTGGTGTTTGCCCTTGCCTTCCTCAGACAAGGCCTTCATTCTGGGCCAGCAGAGGAAGCTGTCCCTATTGGTGTCCTGCTTGCTGTGTGCTAGACCCTGGACTCAGCACTTCCCTCAGCAGCACTGATAGGGGCCTCTCCTTTCCAGGTTGTGATGGGGGAGCCAAGACTCGGTAGAAGGGAGCAGCCTTAGTTTGCATCACACAGCTGCTCTGCTAGAGTTTAACTTACTAGCGCCCCTCCCCACCAGTCTTCAGGAGCTGAGGGTTGGGTGCTTGTCTGACAATTCTGGCATCAAGTTTCAGAGGACTAGTTTAGACTTCTGAAGCAGGAGGACTTATTGATGGGTATAGCTCAGCAACTGGCCTGGCTGGGGAGAGTATGTAAGGGAGCCAGGCTTTTTACCAAGGGAGTGGGAGGAGGGACCAGAGAGGGAGGATTTTGCCTGAGACCACCCAGCAGGGCTGGCCCAGCCCTGTCACCCACTCAGGGTTGGTGGGTGCTGGGCACATCTAGCATCTGCAGTAAGCTGAGTTCCTGTGTGACTAGGCCAGTGATGGTGAACCTTTTAGAGCTTTCAATAACAAGTAGCTGGCTGTGGTATGCCTGCCATAGGTCACCACTATGGGCCTAGGCCTAGGCTTGGTGCCACTGGATAGGGCTAGGTAGCAGAGAGGACAGGAGCTAGTGCTGTGTCCCTACTCTGCCCAGCCCTGACATTAATGCCCCTGAGGCTGCCACATCTCAGCTTCATGTTCCAGAATGTCTCCAGTACGCCAGGCACAGGCATGGAAACCAAAGCCCCGAGAGGGGAGGGCACTTGTAAGACTCCAGTGTCACTGGGATCCAAACCTGGATCTGTCAGCCTGGAAGGCCAGAGTTCTTTCCTGGGCCACCCTGGGAAAGATGAGAGCTCTATAAATAACCTGCCCATGTGGCTGTGAGAGTGTGCCCTGGCTGGTTGGCACAGAGGGGCCCTCTCCAGCCAGTTAGAGGCAGCGTCTGAATGTGGTGGAGAGAGGAGAGCTGGGCTTCCAGAAAGAGGGCCTTGCACTCTGCTCCCTTGGAAAGGAACAGGGAGAGCAAAAGAGCCTGCAGGGTGCCCAGCCTCCTGCATGCACACAAGCACTGCTTGCCTCCCAGGGAGCCTTGCCCTGCTGGCAGGGGTCAAAGGGGGCTGAAAACTGATAGCCCCTCCTTGACCCCAGCTTCCTGCAGGGGGTTTGATTATAGGAAGTTGCCATTCCCCTATGATCTCTGAGCCCTCCATCACACAGTGGTGTCTGTCACTCATGACAAATAGGCACAATTGCCTCAATCTACAGAGGGGAAATTGAGGCTTGGGTAGGTAGGACCGAATCCTGACTACTTAATTATCCCTGTTCAGTACCTCCACCTTCCTGACTATGGCCTCAGCTGGTGTGGAGGCAGGGCACCCAAGGTCCTCCCAGGGAGGCCAACCTGAAGCGCTCTTGCCACACTCAAGCTTCTGGGTGGTCTTGGCTGGACACTACTTGTTGGTTTTTTGTTTGTTTGTTTTCTTGATATTTTATTAGTATATGTTTACAGTACATACATTTTGCAGTCATATTGGGGAATCAGTACATGTACATAAGACAGCTTGTATCTTTTATAATCCCCTTCTGCCCCCTTCCCACTGCTTGATTCTTAATCTGGGTTCTCCACTTAGCCCCTCAGCATCCCATGAGGCAGGGACTGGCACCTCTGTTTGCAGAGAAGGACCTCAAAATTAAGAGAGGGTAAGTGACCTGCCCAAGGTCACAGAAGCCACAGCTTGAGCCCAGGTGACTCTCCAGAGCCTGGCCTGGCCTCACCCTCTCCCAACACCCACATCATACATACACTCACCCCAGGCCTCAGCACAGATCTGTTGGATAGGTCCTCAGGGGAACCTCTTTCC